AATTTATTAAAGTGCTGGGGATGTATATAGCTTAGCGTGTATGCGTACAAGTCTGGGTTCAATCCCAATGCCAAAAAATTCTCTAGGCCAGATATCTGATCAAAGCAGATCAACCTCTCCAAAATAATTAAACTAAACATGCTCTTTGTTCAGCTCACAATACTAATATGTCTAATTTCTTCTTGTACAAATTCACGATAACCCTTTAAATAAAATGAAAAGTGTATGCACTTTTCTAATAAATCCAACAAATACAAGATATATTCAACTCTGTTCTAAAAGTTACGATATAAGCACATAGGAGCACTGATGTTAGGATAAAATGTAATCATGGCACTTCCCACATGAAATAACCCTAAGTACTAATAAAAATAAAATCTCAAAAGAAATTCAAATTTCTGAAATCAAAAGCGTGTTGGTATAATTTTTTAGTTTTTTTATATAGTTGTAATTGGACAGCATGCCTTTGTTTTTTGTTTGTTTGTTTGTTTGTTTTTAATGTGGTGCTAAACAAATGAAGGATCGAACCTAGTGCCTCACACATGCTAGGCAAGTGCTCTGCCACTAAGCTACAGCCCCAGCCCATGTTAGTACATTTTTAAATGATATTTTGAACAAAGGGGAAACACTTAATAGAAGAGTTCTCCAACAAGAATTCCTGACAACATATAAAGCATCATGCTCATCAGAGGCCAATCCCTTGCTTGCAGGGAATAAGGGAAATTAACTTTCTGATGAATACAAACCTTTAATAAAACATGGAAATTCTTAGTAAATTTGAAAAGTAGAAAAGAAATTTTCTGTTTAAAAAATTTATTTTTAGTATATGTATCTGTATTGCAAAAACAGCAGCTACTTATTTGTCTCTTACATATTGTAATGATTTGAATCCTGAGGAAATTTCATCCATAGTAGTTTTAGGTATCATACAATATCAACAGTTGGTGTGGGAGGCCATCCTCGCACATGATTTGAGTTACCTCCCTGGATCGGTGAGAGGCGCTTAGACACAGCTGGGTCAGAGCTTTCCCCATCCTTTCCCAGGTCCGAGGGCTTGTCCATGCAGAGGTGAATCTGGCCACTGCCCCAAAGACCCAGTCATTGCCCATGACTTTGGGATGCTGCCCCCCCTTAACCTTCATTGGATGAAGTTTTTGTTCCCCAATAAAAGCCCACTCCCTGGCGTGTTCTCTCTCTCTCACTAGTCTCTTCTGTAAACCTCGCCACCACATTAGGTGGCTGGAGGCAGGAGCTAGGAGAAGCCATTTCAGAGCTGGTATTAAAGGTAATGAGTCTTGTCTCTTTAATTTAAAACTCCCTAGCAATTATTTATGAATCAAACCTTTTTTCATGAAGCCAGCACTGGTCGAGTGGCAGAAGTTGAAACTAAAAATATCACCATTCTGCTTTTATCTTCTAAAACTGATTTAAAATTTTTGCTTACAATAATTTTATCCAAATTTGGAAGAGGTATTGTGATGTGTGTGTAAATGTGTAAATACATAATCATTTTAAACAATACCTATGGATACCTCTGACACTTGGGTCCTGTCACAGGCATTGTGTGTCATACTGGAATAGAATCCAGGACTTCTCATGTGCTAAGCAAGTGCTCTACCATCAGGCTGCACATGTAGCCCTAAAGATGTCTTAATAAGCAGAAATTAATTAAAATCATTTAAGATTATCATGAGAAGTTTCAAACAATGAATTCTCTCAATCTAAAAAAAGTAAGCTAAAAGTATACTTTTTAAATATTGCTGATGAAAAATAGCAAAAGTTCACAGGATTAAGAACTTTGTATAAAACTAGAAAGAGGAGAAATTAAAAGTTGAACAAGAGGCTGTAGCTCAGTGGTAGAGTGCTTACCTAGCATGTATGAAGCACTAAGTTTGAGCTTTAGCACCACATAAAAAATAAATAAAAGGCATGTTGTCCATCTACAAACACCAAAAAATTTTTTAAAGTTCGACAAATTCTACAGCACAGAACTAGAAACCCAGAGGACATGGGGGATTTCCTAGTAAATACAGACATTGTAACATGACTCTAAAATAAGAAAACTGTAAATCAATCAATTATTATAGAAAAGCTTGGACTAGTGCTTAGAGATCTCCCTCTGGACAAGAGCCCAGGATTACCAGGGCTCACTGTGAGTGTCGCCTGACCTTTAACAAATTTTGATTTCATTTCAAATGTTCATGATCTAGAAAAAAGAAAAGAGAAAGAAGAGAGTTTCATAAATTCATTTTATGGTATATGGAAGCCTGATACGGTTAAGGTATTTCATCCAATGAAGGAAGTCAATGTTTACACAACAGGCATTATTTTGTGCACCCCTGCAAACACACTGCAAATTACAGCAAGAAAGTCTACTCCTCCTAGCCTAGTAGGCGGCAGTCTTAAGCAGGAGCGGGGTGTCTAGGGAGGTGGGGTGGGAGGGGCGCCTGTTGGGGCAAGGAGTCTGGGGGAGGGTGGGGGCAGGGTCTGGAGGGACAACTGGTGGCAATGACAGCCTTGGTGGTTAGTTCAGAGCCAATCTCCAGCCTTCCATTAAAAAAAAAAAACAAGCTGAAGCAGGGCCCATAGCAGTGTCAGTCTGCCTGATCCACCATCTGCTCACTGAATGAGGCTCCAGCAGCCACCCTAAATCCAGGGGAAGTAGTTCCTCCACTGCCAGCCACAACCACCTGCTCTGTACCAGCTGCCTAGAAGTGCTGAAAGTGGCAGGTATTCATTACATATGCTAAAAGAGGAAAGTAGTCAGGCATGATGGCCCATGACTGTAATCCCAGCTACTTGGGAGGCTGAGGCAGGAAGATTGCACATTTGAAGCTAGCCCAGGCCACTTAGCCAGATTGTGTCTCAATAAATAAATAAATAAATAAATAAATAAATAAATAAATAAATAAATAAGAACTGGGGATGTTGCTCAGTGGTAGAGGTTTTACCTAGCAAGCATGAAATCCTGGGCTCAATCCCCAGTACTTCAATAACCAAAAAAAAGGGGGGGGCAGGGGCAGGCGAGAAGGAATGCATTGTTATTATAAATCCCATTTCCTTTTATTCTAACTTTATATTTGTCATCATCTTAATGTTCATGGGCAATTAACTACATGGCAGAAGCTGTAGAGAATTTGAAACTAAAATATAAGATGCTGTTTATTATAGATCAATCAAAGATAAAGGATTTCTAAAATGAAGATGTAAGTCAGTGGAAAAGCTAGATTAGACTCATAGAAACTTGACTCTCCAACATATTGGTACAAGCACTAATTTCCTTAACAAGACACAAGTTCAAAAATAAAATCTGGAATCAAAGTGAAATGGCTTCAAATTAAAAATTTTCTGCACAGCAAAGGAATCAGAAGCATGAAAAGAGAGCTATAGAATGGGAGAAAATCTTTGCCAGTTACTCTTCCAAAAGGGAATTAATATCAAGACTATATAAAGAACTCAAAATACTTATCACCAAAAAATTAATAACTCAATCAAAAATAGGAAAAAGAACTAAACAGATGTTTCTCAAAAGAAGTAGTACAGATGGCCAAGAAATATATGGGGGAAAAATTATCAACATCCCTAGCAATCAGGGGTATGCAAAGCAAACTTCATTAAGGTTTCATCTCACTCCAGTTAGAATGACAAACATCAAGAATACAAATAATAAATGCTAGGGAGGATATGGGGAAAATGTTCACTCACACATTGTTGGTGGGACTACAAACTAGTGCAACCAGTCTAGAAAGCAGAATGGCAATTCCTCAAAAAACTAGATCATGTAATCTAGAGACTCCACTCCTTGGTATTTATCCAAAAGAACTAAAAATCATCATCCTACAGTGATACAGGCACATCAATGTTTATAGCAGCACAATTCATAATAGATAAGTCAACAGAATGAATAAAAATGTGGTGTTTTCCACAGATGTAAACACAATGGTGTTTTATTCAGATGTAAAGAAGAATGAAATTATGGCATCTGCTGGTAAATGGATGAAATGGAGAACATCATGCTAAGTAAAATAAGCCAGACTCAAGTGAAGGGTTGATGTTTCATTTAAGATGTAAAAGCTAGAGAGAAATTAGGAAATATAAGGGAAGAATCCCATGAAAATCAACAGGTGATCAATGAAGTAGAGGAAGGGGATTGACAGGGAGGGTGGCGGAAAGAGAAAGTAGAAATACTGGGGATGAAATGGAGCAAATTATATTTCATGCATGTATGCCTACATCAAAAAGGACCCCACTATTACATATAATTAAAACGCATGAGTAAAAATATTTTGTAAAGAGGGAAGATAGCCAGGCATGGTGGCACACACGTATAATCCCAGCAGCTCTGGAGGTTAAGGCGGGAGAATCATGAGTTCAAATCCAGCCTCAGCAAAAGCAAGGCACTAAGCAACTCAGTGAGACCCTGTCCCTAAGTAAAATACAAAATGGAGTTGAGGAAAATATATAGACACTCTCAATTAAACTGTGATTTTATCAACCAAAACAAAACGTGGTTGACTTTAGTTCCATGAAAGATGAGAAATAAAATTTTAATAAATTGTGACTTTGTTAGAAATAATGTGTTTAGGCTTAAATAACTTAGCGGGCTTAACACATACAATTTTTAATATTTTCCTACTTTAACATTGCAAGAAAAAAAATGAAACAGGCTGGGGTTGAGGCTCAGTGGTAGAGCACTTGCCTAGCATGTGTGAGGCACTGGGTTTAATCCTCAGTACCACATAAAAAATAAATAAATAAATAAAACAAAGTTATTGTGTCCATCTACAGCAAAAAATAAATCTTTTAAAAGGGGGGAAAAACGTTAAAACATTAAGGAGATGAGGCTGTGGCTCAGTGGCTGAGCACTTGCCTGTCACATGTGAGTCATTGGGTTCAATCCTCAGCACCACATAAATAAATAAAATAAAAGTATTGTGTCCATCTAAAACTAAAAAATATATTTTTAAAATATTTTAAAAAAAAACATTAAGGAGGTGAAGGCAGTTCGCGGGTAGAAAGGTGCTGGTGTGGAGACCGCTTCCGGACTCCAGCATTGCGGCCTCACCAATGGACCTGATTGGTTTTGGTTATGCAGCCCTTGTGACGTTTGGAAGCATTTTAGGATATAAGCGGAGAGGTGGTGTTCCATCTTTGATTGCTGGTCTTTTTGTTGGATTTTTGGCGGCCTATGGAGCTTACCGTGTCTCCATGGACAAACGAGATGTTAAAATATCACTATTTACAGATTTCTTCCTGGCCACAATAATGGGTGTGAGATTTAAGCGTTCTAAGAAAATAATGCCTGCTGGGCTGGTTGCAGGTTTAAGCCTCATGATGATCCTGAGACTTGTCCTACTGTTGCTGTGAGCATCCAGAAGAACCGAAAACTAAATTCCTGTCATTCTACTGTAATGGGCAGAGTATTCTTTGTACTTAAAAGATAAATTTCAATATAGAATGTCAAGTCTCTTATTTTATGTCAGAAGCAAAAGTTATACTGTCTCCTCTAAGATGAATAAAAGTTTAAGGTAGTTTTTTTTTTTAACAGCAAAAATTTAAACTGTTTCTATTTGTTAAGTGCTGTTTTCATTAAAGGTGTTTAATGAATCCCAATACGCTCTTTCACTTGCTGTAGCTATTTTTATATTTGTAATATTGTTTTTGACAGTTCCAAATACTGATGACTCAAGGAAGTTTAAATTAAACTACAACTTATCCAATAAAGGAATTTCCTAAGTAGACTTCACAAAATACTAACTTAGATGTTTGTTACTTGTGCTATATCAGAAATTTTATTTTTTTCCATTTTAATTGCATTTAATTGCTGCCAGTATTATTTTTCCTTTAAAAGAATTCCATTCTAGGTATACTCTAACAGAATATATCAGTATTCAAATAAAATAATAAAAATGTTTTAAAATAAAAAAAAACATTAAGGAAAACAAGTAATGGAGTACACTAAGGCTCCATCTTTTGGGGTTCAGGACCCTCCCTCAATGTTGCTCCTTCCTACATGTCAAGTTCCTCAGAAAACACCTAGGCTGGCCATGTTATGATGATGAGGGTCACAGCCTCAAGAAAGGGGCCCTTCTATAAGGTGAGCCTTGCTGAAAGAGAAGAGAATGAACTCACAGCCAGGCTCCCCTCAGCTCCCAGGCCCAGGAGGGGGATTTTCTAGTCACACTCCCCACATTTTCCTCATCTACCACTGGTTCATCCAGAAGCTTCTGAGGCTTCTCCCTGAGGCTACTCTAAGGAGAAGGAAGCTCCATGCATCCCCCAAGCTAGGCATCAGCCCAAGGCTGGTCTGAGCAGAAAGGTGTTCCTGGCATCCCTAGAGACATGACCCATCAGGGTCCCCAAGCCAAGAGTCTGGCTAAGGCTGCACTAAGGAGAAAAAATTCTCTGGACATCATAGATATAAACCACAATGTACCCAAGTCAGGCAAATCCCTAAGGCTGCTCTGAGAAGGAAGCTCCAGGCATCCATGAGGGTATGCAAGCCAGGCATGTCCCTCAGGTTTTTCTAAAGAGAATAAAACCCTAGGTGTCCCTAGAGACATGACCCACAAGTGTCCCCAAGCCAGGCATCTCCCTTGGGATGCTCTGAGGGAAAGGGAGCTCCTGGTGTCCCTAGAGACATTACCCATAAGGGTCCCCAAGGCAGGCATCTCACTCAGGCTTCTCTGAGAAGGGAGCTCCTGGTGTCCCAAGAGACATGGCCCACTAGGGTACCCAACAC